CAAAAATATCTTTCATTAAATATTTTTCTTGGGCCCCAGGCAGTAGAAAACGCTGCCATTCATAGTGGGCACAGCCATTTCCAGCCTCTCCTCATTGACTGTCGCCATTTACACACATCATAACCCCTGTGAATAGAAAGGGCTGGGAAAAGAATGCAATCTCCCCAGGGTTACTATTTGGTGTCTTCTAGAAGATTAAGTTTCTCCAAGTTTTCTCCCAGATGTTTGGAGTGATGAAATCATATAGTTACTTCATTAATTTAATCTTCTCTTTCTAGATTTTAAAAATTTTATGGCCATTTCACATACTTGAGTACATTTTACCAAAGCAGTGGTTCTCCAAGTGAGGCCCCTTCACCAGCAACATCACCTAGAAACTTGTCAGAAATGCTGATTCTCAACCCTTCCCAGGTCCATTGAATCATAAACCCTGGAGGCAGGTCTCAGTCATCTTTTTTTCCTGAGTATGAATATTCTTTTTTTTTTAAAGATTTATTTATTTGTGCATACAGAACTGGGGTACAGGCCAGAGGCTCAGGGGCGGTGAGAGGCTTCATCAGAGACTGAGTGGGGAGCAGAACAGGCAGATCAACCAAGTACACTGTTGAGGGGAGCAGCGGGCGGGTCAGGAGGGGTCTGCCGCGCCCTGTGGTCACCTCCAGGGCAGGTGGGGATCGAACTCATGCAGAAGTGGCTGCGATAGCTTCATCGTGCTGTGCTTCAACATACTGTGCCACCAGGGAGGGCCCTCAAGGGATTTGTTTAGGGAAAAGACAAAGTGTTATCCTTTCTCAGAATGTTGTGAGCCTCAAGAAATTGTGCTGTAGGGAGGCGTGGCCTGGTGCTGGCAAATGTCTTATCTTCAACATAATGTATACATGTGCAGACACAGATATTACTTTGTGATAATGTCTACAGGTGATGACATCGTTCAGGCCTGAGTAAAGATGGTCAATACTCAACATGTGTCTTTAAAGAGGACGGATGAGTGCTGGCATCAAAATGTTGTTTCTTAACAAAACACCAAACCAAGACAGAAAAATAAAGAGGACGAAATTAAAATTTGTTTTGACACATAACCTGTAAATATAGATAGATCTTTTTCCTGATTTTCTTCTACTTAATATTACCTGAAGATTAATATGTTTTCTCCAGGAAATAGTAGTAATTGACAGAGGTGACAAAGCAAGCTGGTGGGGCAGGTAAATAAGAGTTAGGAAACACTGCCTCTGTACACCCCAGGGGAGTTCCCTATCCGTGCAATCAAAGCAAACAGATAA